CTGCTGGCAGAAGCAGTAAAAGTTCAGCAAGCATTAATTGCAGCATTTTTTAACACATGTTGTTATAAAACCTCCAACACTTGCAATGACCACCAAGGAATGACTTTCCAAAATTGGATTCTGATTTTTCTTTCCCCTATACTCTCTCTAGAACTCTCCCCCAATCTAAGCACACCAAATTCTCCTTTGCAGCTTGCCAAGCTCTTTCCCATTTGTTAAAATGTCTATGAGCCACTTGCAACAAAATTCCTTAAAAGCCAATTCTCTGAGGCAGTCACACAAAAATCCATCAGACATTTCTGACAGCTGAATGAGACTGGGGGATTTATTATTCCAAGGCAAGTGAACCAGTAACCAAACCTTGATGGTCTTTGTCTTGCATTTCATTGGACCTTCCCATTGCTTCTTGGGCAGGGAACAGAAGTAGAGAGAAAAAGAAAACAAAAAAGAAGTTGTGTTCCAGTAGAGAACTCATTCAGCTGCAGAAAAATAAGATGCTGGGGGGCTAGTGTGACTTACCCTAACCCAAGTATCTTTCCCTCTCCTCTACTTTCAGTTCATGGGGAACTGACCCAAATAACCACCTGCACACAGCTGGATCCAGTGGCCAGAGGGAGAGGCTCAGGTCAGCAGGCAAGGGCAGCACCTACTTGCCCAAGCAGAGACCTCTGTGAGCACCGCAACCTCCCCTTCCACTATCACAACCCGTGAACGCAGCAGCTATCCATGTTCTGAACTACAAAGCTGGGTTTTATTTTTAGCATGGAAAGCTTCAAAAGAAGCTGATGACCTAAACTGGAATTTTTCCATTCTAGACAACCTGGTTTTCAGAACAAAAGCACACAAGAAAGTTTCATGAGCAGCCTATCAACACTTCTTGAAGTGGAAATGTTTAGAAACATTAAAGCAATGCACCAACACAACAGTGAGGAAAAACAAGCATAGCAAATGCCTAACTTCACTAAAAATACTCTCATTTTCATTTAGTTTTCAAAGAACAGTTATACAGAAAACACACACTTCTATGGCAAATCTAAGGGATAAAAAACTTGTAATACACTTTCAATTACAATCTAACAAAGGAAAATAAAACTTCATGTTTCACACCCCATTAAAGAAGACTTGTTTCCACTGTTGCTTTGGTTTTTACTGTGTGTTGGGTGTTTTGGGGGTGTTTGTTTTTTCGTGTTTTTTTTTTTGTTTTTGTTTTGTTTTTTTTTTTTTGTGTTTGCACTTTGGGGGCAGGGGGGATTGTTGGTTTGGTTTGGTTGGTTGGTTTTGTTTTGCTTTGTTTTTTTACACATACTGCAGAGTAGGCAAATACTCATGGGAATGTAGGGGGGAGAGTGTTTGAATTTGGAAAAGTTGCTGAGACCTTACTAGTGAAATAAATCATATCCCCTGCAAACCATAAAAACACAAACTTGTTCAGAAGACTGATCCATTAAGTCTCATTTTGAAACATCACAACCTGGATCCAGTTTGGAATACTAAATGCAGGTGACAATGATTACCAAGAGTGCAAAAAAATTCTTAGGGCACACTTAAGAGTAAACTCATCAAGAATAATCTGAGGCTGGATGCAGCCATGGCATGCTCGTGACTCTGTGGCCCTTTACTTGACCCTGGGAAGGAAACCCTACTCTCAGGAATAAAAGTTTCCATGAAACATCTGCTGAAAAATTATTCTCTGACAGTTTGACTTAGTATCAAATGACACACACTCTGATGAGCTTTAACAATTGCCATTTTCTCTAGATGAAATCCAGGGGATTTTAAAAAAAAAAAATCTAATTTCTGTAATACAGTGAGTATTGATATACTAGAAAGAACAATCAGAAAAAAAAAAAAAAACAATGTTCCCTCCTACATCAGACCTTTTCACAAATAAATAATATGAAAGGAAAGCAGAGATATTAAGAAAATAAACTTTCAACACATTTTATAAATTATTATAATTTCATTTTTGCTCTGTTATGTTTTTTAAGCAAATGCCAAGTTCAATATTTACTTCGATAGAGCCTGCATGCAAAACGTCTCCCATATGACAGCCTTCACTTACACATCAGACCACGATTAATGCAACTTGGATGACTGCATCAAGAAGGATAAGACTGTCCAGAAAAAATATCACAGTCCAGTATTTTCAAAACATAATAATTACAGCTCAACACAGATAAAGCAGAAGACTCTGCAGATAAATACAGCAACCCTGAACTGCAAACAGGTTTGAGGGCTGACAACAACACTCAAATAAAACAAATTCTACTGCACAGCAAGGGCAGTTAGATTTTATGTGTAAACAATAAACACTTAGATAAAATTGATACATTGGGGCAGGTAGAGAATGGGGACTGGTGAAAGAACGAAGAGACTACACTGACATCCAGAACTGATGCAAGTGGAAATATTAATAGGTTTAAATGCAGGATTTTTATCACACAAAAGCAAAGTAACAAGTATTATTTTGAGCAATGAATTAAATTCAAAGCAAACTCACAGAAGAAGCAGTCACAAATGTTCACAACTCAGACACTCTGAATCAAATTAATGTTTCCCAGTTGAATACGTACCATCCCCTCAAAGGCCCCTGTATCATCCGACTCATTGTTCCTTTTCCCATGCTACAATGACTGATCGCTAGCATACTGAAACAGCAGTAGTGCTAATTCATAGTAATAGCATTTCTCACTATCTATATGCCCCTTTACCGTTGGTTCTAAGCCTCAGAGCAATATTTCTTACTGTTTCACTAGCAACCTTCTATGTATCAGACACCTTTCTGCCTCTTAAGTTATTGTCCTGGGTTTGAATGAGTGGTGGGGTTTTTTGGTAGCAGGGGAGGGGGCTGTAGTGGTGGCCCCCTGTGAGAAGCTTCTCGAAGCTCCCCTGGCTCCAAGTCAGCCCTACCTCTGCACCAAGGCCGAGACAATTGGCTGCACCTCTGCGATAACGTATTTAAGAAGGGACCTGGGAGGAAGAGTTGGACTTGTGAGGAGGAGTTGCAACATCTGAATGAACATGGGGGTCAGTGGAAGAACGGAGGAGGAAAGGAGGGGGGAGGTGTGCAGGAGCAGAGAGACCCCTGTATCCTGTGGTGAGACGGCAGGGCGGCCCCCCCGCCACCCATGGAGGTCTGCAGTGGAGCAGACATTGATCTATGGCCTGTGAGGGGCCCCACATATCCAATTACAGTGGCTGCACCCAAAGGCAGCTGGGATCCTATGGGAAGAAGCAGCCCCTGCTGTTGTAGTTCAGCGCTGGGAGGATTGCAGCATGTGGGGCTGTCCCATGCTGGAGCAGCTCAGGAAGGGGTGCAGCCCTGGGAGGGACTCAAGTCAGAAAAGTTGGGGAGGACTGTCTCCTGTGAGGGGAACCACGCTGGAGCAGGGGGAAGAAGTTCCAGACACTCTCCCCTCTCCTAAGATGGAAGAAGCGGCAGCGCTGACTGCACCCCCCATTCCCTGCCCCTGCGCCACTGGGGGAGGAGGTAGAGATATCGGGAGCAGAGCTGAGCCCGGGAAGAAGGGAGGGGTGGGGGGAAGGTGTTCTCAAGATGTGGCAATGCTTCTCACTGTCCTACCCTGTCTGTTAAGTGTTGTTGTTGTTAGTGTCTGTAATAAATTTATGTTCTTTTTTTCTTCCCCTAACGAGTCTGTCTTTTGTCCATGACCTTAATGGGTGACTTATCCCTCCCTCTCCTATCTCAAATCCCAAGTCTTTGCTTATTTTCTCATTCTCAGAGCTGGGGGGGGGGAAGGGCGCGAATGGCTGTGTGTTGCTTGGTTACCCTCTGAGCTCAAACCATGACAGTTATATCTCTCAAGATTGTGGGGAAGAGGAAGTGTGTAGCAAAGTATAACAACATTATCATCTAGACAAAGCAAATTTAAGAAAAACGAGTTGCTAATTTCTCTCTATCCTATTCATGTAACTCAGGTTACATACAGTTTTCAACTTTCCCATCTCACTCTCTACATAGGTTTGTACAACATAAAGGAACTTGTAAAACTTTTTAAGATACAAAGGAGGAATCACCTCCCCTTCACCCATTGCTGGGTCTACACAATGTGTTACCTTACCTTAAATGTGCTTTTAGTCAGCAAGGTCTATAATACACACGATTCTGATTTTACAGCCGTGTCTCATTTGACTTTTGCATATGACTCTTTAAAGTATCTGTAGTGTTTACTACCTCTCTGGTAAATTTCTCATCTCCTTCTTCCCCTTTTTTCCTTTTCTGTCATTCCTTCCTGAGTGGATAATACACTTTGTTTTCACCTCAATTTAGCTTCTTAATACCTTAGTTGCATCCTATTATTGTCTTTAAAGGTGATTCACTTTTCACAGACTTTATAAGCAACCTCTTAAGCATGAAGATAGGAGAAAAAGTCACAGGGCACCTGAAAGCAAGTACTTTATTAATTATCAGAATAAATAAATTTTAAATATTACCGTCAATTGAAGTTCTGATCTGTGATTTTTTGGCTTTGAAATCCTATGCTTGTAATACAGTGACTTTTTCTGGATACAATAAACAAGCAAATCCTTAAGATGCAGCAATCAACAGAAGCCAAACACAGTCCCTCCATTAGGCAGAGAAGCTTTAGCATTTTCCCAGTAAGATGTAATTGCTGTAAAAAATTTGGTGGTGTATAGAGTTATTCTTTAGTATGACACATGGTACAGTTTTCTGAGAGCACTGATACACATCAGTCACCCCACTCCATTACTGCGAGGCTTCCAGGTAATGACACACATGTAAGAACATCTAGTAATATTTAAAGAATGCAAAAAACTGCCCTTCAAAGACAGACTATCCACAGTTGCCCATAGCAGGGATTTTTCAAAGGAAATGCAACTTCGCCTTTGAGCAACTATAAAAGCACCAGTGATGACTAACACAATTGATTAACAACCCACCACTGTATTTTACCATGTTCATTAATGATAAATTTGTGCTATTATCCCAAGAGACAAGGCAGTGTGTGCTTACTCACCCTTACAAGGCTGGGAGCAATACATGAGCATGGTATCTTGACATTCTTGAGGCACTTTTCATGAGACATGAAGTTGCAAACTGCAGAAATAAAATAACCATGAGCAAATCTTCACAAACATAGGACTTTGTGAAAAAAAAAAAAACAACAACAAACCAACCAACAAACAAAAAACCATATGGAGTCAAATACAATTAGGAACACAGCTTTTTAATCATATTTGCTCTCCCCTAGGTTTGAGAGCGTACATGACTGTCACACTTCTTGTAGAGCGTGAATTCCAGCTTGTTTTGTTACTAAGACGTTGGCAATGGAAAAGGAAGGAGAGTTTATTCCAATGCATTACAGGCCTACAGCAAGTCATGCCCTCCCACATGGTCCGTAAGCACCAAAATGAGCTCTTAAATTTCAAAAGGGATTTTAAACATTCTAAAAAGTCCAAAATAGCTCTTTCATGTAGCCAAAGCAGATGGACACGTTTGAAAGTAAATTATTCTACAAGCTAGTGCATGTGACAGGAATAAATAGAAGAAAACACAGTATTGTTACACACTGAGTATAACAGATTAAGGAGATGAAATTAAAGGTCACCATTTGCATCCAGCTTTGAAAGTCAAGAGAAACTAATTATTTCTTTTACTGTGGAAGCAACAAGTTTAGAATTCCACCCAAACTCCACAATGCATGCTTTCAAGCAAGACAGTGTTTGAAAAAATAATTTCTCGTGGGGGTGATATTTTCCACAGCTTCTTACCATGGCTTTACATGATGTTAAGCTGTGCAAAGAAACCAAGGCATTCTTTATTTCATTCCCACCACCTCACATTAATTAGGAACTAATAAGTTATGCAGCTTTGGCTTTAGAGTCCTCCTAGCAGAATTACTCTCCACCAGTTCAAGTATGAAGCCTTACACAGATGCCCAGGCCCTGACCTCTCTTGTGGAAGCACAGACCTCTCCCAGTGCTGGAGCAGATCACTTGCCAGTGGCAACTGCTGCTGTACACAGCAGGTCTTTGTACATCCCTGCTTTTCAGAAACATGCTGTACCACTTTCTAATTTTCACAATCAACTGAAAAAAACCCCCATGTGCTTCAAGCTTCCCAATTGTAGCCCACTGCCATTGCTGATTGTATGTGCTAGTGCCATCAAAAGCACAGTTTTCCTCTCCTCCCCCTTCCCCAGCTCACTGACTTCTGATTTCACAACTCCGCTTATCCCATGCCAACTCAAACATTAAAATCCAGGTCCACTTCTCTATGTGGCTTACTGCCAGTACATGCAAAGTAACCTTCCCTTTTGGTGACACAAAAAGAAGGATGGCCCCTTTCACACTGGCATTTATCTTAACGTAAACAGTAGGCAGACGTTTGTTTTTCATTAGTCTGCAAGTCAGAAAAAGAAGCAGCACTGCAAGTCCCTACTGCGTACAAACAAGTTACTCATCATCCATGGTTGAATACAGAGTGATTACTGCACTGATGAAAGAAAGTGGGAACAGAGCAGATCCAAACCTTCTGCTGGGTGCTATGAAGTGTTATGTGCACCTTTCAGGTTGATAGTGTTCCTGACTAAACGGGACAGGTAAGGGGTGGAAACAGTCAATTAAGGGATAATAAAGCAGATTCCCAGAGCTGAAAATACAGATGCCCAGCACATTTGGAGGTGGTCATTATGGAGGAATGAGCACACAGCAGACCAAAGAGAACAAAGTGATTATCCCGGCAAACGAAAGATGTGTTTCCTGCTCTAGGAAACAGGTATGACTACACAGAGAACTGGTGAATGCTATCACTTACATGTGTTACCACAACATGGATGTAGATGGATATAACCTAATCTCTCCTCAGGTCTCCACAACATTTCTACTGATGCTTTTAGGAGGGTCATCTGGTTGCTATGAGAGCAGGTCTGCAGAGACTGCAAGAGAAAAGCTACCTGCCCATTACCAGCTAGTCTGAAATTAAGCACATATGCCCTGCCACAGACAGAAGGCATTTGCCCCAGCCACTTTTTTAGGCAGCCTCTTCACTGTCTCACAGGTGGTACCTGAAGCTCTGCTGAACCTGGCTGGGTGAGGGGGACCGAACTCTGCAGGTAGAAGCATGGTGACAAAGGTTTCCACAGCTCCAACCCACAAAAGGCAATATGATGTTTCAAATGTAAACAGGCAGCGGTCAAGGACTTTGTAAACAGGTGAGAACTAGTCAAGAAGAAAGCAGCAGTGACTAATGAAATTCCATGAAATGGCACTGTTTTCCCTTGTTTTTCTGGATCAGAAGCAGGCAGAAAAGAAAGAAGAAAGCAAGGAGCTGCAGACTGCTCACAGAAATGTTATGATCTGCAAGAAGCAGCAGGCAACTGAAGTCTGCAAGACCAGTATCTCCAAGTGGCTACGAGCTTTATTTTAAGTGCACACACAGTAACTCAAAACACAAGTTAACCAAGATCTACACAAACATCTCAGGGAATTCAGAGAAGGTGGCTCCAAATCAGCTGACAGAAATGAGGCTACTTGCATGGGCATGGATGTTGAGAGATGTTCTCCATTTATTCAGACTACACAATACCACTCCATTTTCTCTTTGCAGTAACAAGCAGCAAAACATGGTCCTGCATAAAGACAGCATCTCATGGTTCAGCTGAGGTAACATTTCATGGCACAGAAAAATATACTGAAGAAGAATTCAAACCAGCAACTTCAGACAAGCAGTAAAATCAAAAGGTGAATGAAGGTTTCAGATGAGTAAAATAGAAGGGTACATAATGGTTTTTAATTGTTTGACTGAGTGCATACAGAAAAAGACAACATGCAAAATAATGAATTTCCTAAAATTTCTAGGGAAGGATTGAAGCATTTGCGAAGAATCAAATTAAGGAATATCAGGAAACAAACAGTTGATCAGCAGTGCCCAGAGATGGTAACATTCTTCATGAAAGATTTTCACACATTTTTCAGGAGGTACTCATACACCCCTTCTCTGCTTGTCAGATGCCTCTAATTTGTCAGGGAGGATGCGCTCTGACTACGTGTCTTTTTCCTGTCCCACAAAATTCCTCAGAGGGTGAGCTAACTCTTACAAGTCACCATTTTGTTTTTATTTCCTACATTCCCCAAAGAGAGGAAAAAAAAATCTGGTAGCGAGCCAAACTGAAGCATGAACAATATTTTGGAGGGGGGGAGGGGAGAGGAAAGGAGAAATCTTAAATTTGTACCAGTAGTCCCAGAGAGACAACACAATTAAACTTGAAGTTCTGACAGCCAGAAGACATTTGTTGTTTTTTAAGGGGTGAGAAGCCAGAAGATCATGTATGAAGTTTCAGGAGATGTAAAATGTAAAATTTTGAGGAACAAGCATTTAAAGGAAAAGGACAGGCTCTTTATTTATAGGAAGACAATTTCTTCATACATACAAACTCAGTGATGAGCTACCAGCAGATACATCTAAATCAAAACAAAGCAATTTCAATTGCAGCTTTCAGATACTGTATACAAAACTGATAATTTCAGACAGACTTGAACAGCTGGAGCACTCAGTGAATCCTTCAGCCGAGCATTTTAATCACTGCCAAAAGTACCTAACAGCCTAGATTAAAGGAGATATAAACCCTTGAGGTACATTTGAAGAAAATGGTGCCTGCAGCCTTAGAACTAGACTCTGAATACAAGGCATCTATATCCAGGTTTAAGCTGCATGAAGCTATACAACACTGAGGGAATATGAACAGACATAATTTCAAGACACATTGACCAAATCCACAAAATTGTTTACTTGCAGGCTTGGGGGACTTCAAGTGGTCTCTCTGAGAACGGAACTGTATGGTCAGGCATACAGCAGCAACCACATTTGACAGCTCTCCCTTGCTCCTCTCCTCTACTCAATAATAATAAAAATAAATTACTTCATTCATATGAAAAATTAGATATTCCCAAAGGGCAGCAAGAAGCCAGGTAGCCATCAGGCACCACAGGACTGCTCCCTGTCCACACCAAGCACAAGACAGGGCTTTGCAGCAGGCTCTGCCGGTAAGCCTTCACCTCCCAGGGCCACTCACCATATTTTGTCTGACTTGGTGATTTAATAAAGGAAAAGGCACTGTGTACTTACGGCAACACCCAGTGAACATACAACCAGTAACTCTCCAACATACACTTGCAAGGAAACCGAAAACATTTATCCCCAGCCCTCCCTATGAAGGCAGATGCTAAAAGTTGGGCATCACAAATAACTCATGAGCTGTGTAACACTTGGTAGCAAAGCAAGGGCTATTTACACCCTCCAATATGGCACACTTTTTTTCCATATAACTCTTTTTCTCTCTGTCCTCAAGGCAGACTTAAAAGCAGATCCCAAAAGTAGAAAGAAGAAAAAGGTGGATTATGTCTTGTACAGACTCTAGCAATGTATCAGTGTCTCATGCAAACAATGGCTGGGTGAGAATTGCTTATGAAATAACAAACGTATTTGTAAATTAATATTCTAACATGTTAGTCTTTATTTCATTTTTCATTTTAACGACTACTTGTAAGTCTAATTTTACATTTCCTAAACACTTTTAAAAGTACAGCTACCAAAATGCTCTCCAAGGAGGATCAAGGAATGTCAACACAACGGCCAAAACGGATTTGATTCTCTCCTGGAAGGGCGATCAGTTTAAGAGAAGACTCATTGCGGACCTATTCACATGTGCATTTTTAATCCAAGAGAACTACTCTTATTTCAGGAAGCACTTGTTTTGAGCTTAACAAAAGCACCCGCCATATAAATTGCAAATCCTCCTCCAACCCGCTGTTGTCAGCATTTGTTGTCCTGCCATCTGCCCACTGCCTCTCTGGCTCTGGTTCTTACATCTCAATTAACTTGCGCCAGTACCACAAGCAGCAGTAACACTCTCTCCTTCTTCCATGCAGGACATGGTCTGCTACTCACACAGGAGCCATCACCCTTCTTGTTGCCACAGGTCACATTGAGGACACTCAAAAAAAGAGATCTCCTGCACCGACTGACAGAGGCAAGTTCCTGGAGACGAGCGTTCCCTCCATGCATACCCTGGATGCACTAGGCAGACCCACAGCAAA